GCCGCACGCTACCGCGCGCATTAAACGGAAGGTCGGGATGAGACAGGACAGCCGACAAAGCGCTAGATTCACCGCTAACATAAGGCTCTTTATCTTAGCAGAAGCTCACCGTTTGATACGCGCAGTGGAGTGCGGAGCTAAAGTGGTGTCTGTAAACAACCACCATGCATCGAATGCCAGTGTAATTTAGCGGTCGGATTGTGTGTGATGTTAAAATATAAACATCCAGCACTCGTTATCGTATTTTTGAACTTACACCATACATTTTTAGGAACTCTGGGGGCATAGCGGTTTAGTGGTATTTCGGGCTGATGATAACAACGCAAATGAAAGAATATTGAAATGAAATGCTTTATCTAAAGTCTGGTTTTGAGTGACCTCTATATTCTTGCGCATATCGTTATTATCGGCCCTTATCAGCCGTTATCCCTTTCTTTCCCCACCATATATGTTCCCGTCCCCCCCCCCTACAACACTTCTTGGAACCAACGCCTCACTGATGCTGGGACGCGCGCTATGGATATCGTGAAATTTGCGTTCTGGCGCCTCTTATCGGCCTTATCAATCGTTATCAGTTTCTGGCACCCACCAACAATGTCCCCGTCCCACCCCACATAACACTTGTAAGTATGGTTGCTCTGGTGTCAACGCGAGCCAGGCAACGGAATCGACGACTTTTGCGTTCTGACGCGCCTTATCAGCCCTTATCAATCGTTATCAGTTTCTGGCACCCACCAACAATGTCCCCGTCCCACCCCACATAACACTTGTAAGTATGGTTGCTCTGGTGTCAACGCGAGCCAGGTAACGGAATCGACGACTTTTGCGTTCTGCGCATCTTATCAGCCCTTATCAGTTGCTATCGCTTCCAATCATGTACCACCAATGTCCCGGGACCACCCCACATAACACTTGTAAGTATAGACGCTCTAGTACCAATATGAACGACAAAACGAAATTGGCGATGCTCGCTTTCTAGCCCCTCTTATCAGCTATTATCAGTCGTTATCAGTTCCTATCACGTACCACTTGTGTCCCCATCCCACCCCCTATAACATATGTAAGAACCACTGCGCTATCATTACTGTGACTCGAGCTATGAATTTCCGGTCAAACACACACACACCAACAGACACACGCTAGCCGCTTATATATAGTAGGATTATATTACCTTTGTATATTCTGTACTATATTACCTACTGATTTTACCGGAATAATTTCAGGACTTTTCGCAGTAGATATGAGTTTGTGATCTAATATTTCGTTGCGTTTTTGAGCGTGGCCAATCTCTTGTACATTTGATATTTTACAGAGTTTTGGATGTCGTTTTTGTTCCGTTGAAATTTCCGATGTATTAGTATTTCGGCACTATTCAACTATTACAACCCCAAAATCTCAAAATTTTATTTTTCGTCGAAACTTCCATAGGGGTAATTCGGTGCCCTGATTACGAAAATGACATTCATTTTTGGCGGTGGCGCCATCTGGCGCCAGTTGGCGTCACCTTGTCACGACAGTTGTTTTCACCAAATTCGGTGTAAACTTCTGGGTAGGGGTTATTTGGTGTCCTGATTACGAATATGACATTCATTCTTGGCGCTAGCTCCATTTGGCGCCTTATTCCCTTCGTCTGCGCTCTCCTATTGATTAGATCGTGATCAGATGTCGGTCAGACTCTGCGATTGCATCGCGCGATGCAGTCGCTCTGCCTAGAGCGATTGGCATCGCTCCAAAGTGCGAGCGACGGGAGATTTACCCCGCCGACGACCGATACACACGGCGCCGCTCGGGTAAATCTCCCGTCGCTCGCACTTTGGAGCGATGCCAATCGCTCTAGGCAGAGCCGCGCGATGCAATCGCAGAGTCTGACCGACATCTCAGGCCTAAGCTTTGGGCGGAAGGAGGGCTACGCGTGAGTAAGCTACCCACCCTGTGATCTCACACGCTTCATCTTTGTCACACGGTGCCTGATTTACCCATTCCGGAGTCTCCCTATCCCCTAAGCTTAGCTCAGTCCAAGGCGCTATGTATAGGTGAGAGAGCCCAGAAAAGCGGGAAGTATGCGGTAAACAGCGCTAATGTCAAAAACGAATGTCATATTCGTAATCAGGACATCAAATAACCCCTATACAGAAGTTTACACCGAATTTGGTGAAAACAGGTCGTGACAAGGTGGCGCCAACTGGCGCCAGATGGCGCCACCGCCAAAAATGAATGTCATTTTCGTAATCAGGGCATCGAATTACCCCTATAGGCAAAGTTTCGACGAAAAATAAAATTTTGAGATTTTGGGGTTGTAATAGTTGAATAGTGCCTATATTTCATTCTTTCTTGAAATGAACGAACTCTTCTGAAGTTATCCGGTTCTGGTAGTTCCAAACGAACTTTCTTTTGATCGGAAAAAGAAGTGAAGAACGACGGAAGCGATAATGTTGCAACCCCCCCCCCCTCCCCCATTTGGGTCGCGCTCTTCAGCGTCCCATTCCGTCAAGTTCGTGGCGTTCGCTAACGTTTTTTGATCAGGCGGTTTCATGCTCATTCCTGTTTTGGTTGATATTTCGAGTAGTTAAATAGAAATCAGTGACCGCAGTGATTAATCAACGGAGGGCAATATGCTAATCTCTTCTTTGCTCCGGCTATGCATACAATGATGATATTTGGATGAACGGTAGGGGCATGTTTATTTGATCCGCACGTCATTGCCTCGACCAGGGAGAGGTTGAAGTAGCGTTTTCTCCCTCTTGTTCCCATCACCTCATTAAAAAGCAAATCACAATAAAGTTGGAGAAGAGCGGTACTACTAGAGTATTTGAGTATCGACATATTCGTTTCCAAACTAATGCAAATACCTGGTCGATGAGAGAACGTATCGTATAGAAAAGTGGTTTACACCTGGAAGTTGTCATGCAGACTGATAAAAGTGGAATACAATAGACTGAATATTGAAAAGCCTCCTGCATGGTTGCCAGTCCAGCAAGTCTTATGTCTTTCCTCTTTCCCTTCGCTTATGCTGATCATCTTCGCTAAAATGCGACTTGGTTTGGTTTCCTATTGTGACTGCTGATATTTTCTATTGATGTGACTCCTCACATTTTCATTCGACTTTCTTAAGGACACTGTTACTGTGGTCTACCTATACTCAGTAATGCATTTGCCCGTTCTAGTATGAAGAGGGTTTTCATTCAAAATTATATCATATAAGGATGGAATT